TATTAAAAGACAGACACCAGGAAAGCCTTCCGCAGTAGGTGCAATTATTTAGCAAGCATTACTCTGGAGATAGGAGATGTGGCTTTGAGTGCTATGTTGCTGCCCACTGGTCATTTCCCAGTGCTCGTCGCTGAGGCCAAGCAAAGAGGTTTCCTTCGTCCTGCCGATGAAGCTTTGCTTTGTGGACTCCAAGGCAGGTTTCTACCGGCACTATCTAACTCTCCTCAAGGACTCCAGTGGAGTGGGCTCTCCTTGGCCAGCGGAGGCTGCGTGTTCCTGCTCAGGGCAAGGCCTGCTGAGGAGTGGTTTGGTGTGGAATAGGTTATTTGAATAGGATCTACGTAGCCATTATCTTCTTCTTTCCTTTAGGCAGTGGCACTAGATAACGACTCGGAGCAAGCAATCTCTAACGGGCTTCTGTAACTCCCCCTCTCCAAGCAAGAGCATCACACTGGCTGCCTGTGACTGACTGTAGTAGATTTCAGCTGGGTGGCTGGGTCTCACTTTGCACCATAAACCAGATTTCAGAGTGCGTGGAGCACCTCCGAGCAGCTGGTTGGGAACAGGGCTGGGAAATCTTTGCTCAGACCCCAGCCTCCCTGTGTAGGTCTTTTCACCAGGGAAAGGGGGCTGAATTTCCACTGCTCTGCCTTGCTGGCGAAGTGAAGGGGAAGAGAAGAGTGAAGGGACCCCGCTCTGCAGCACATCAGATGTTTTGACACCTCAGCTACAAAGTAGGTGAGGCATTGCTGTTCCCCAGTGCAAAATCCACTGCTCCAAGAAGAAATGGGACCTGCCTCGTGTGTCCTTGAACAGCCGTGGTGGGGAGTCTGTCACTGGTCCTCTCATCACTGGCCAGGCTTTGCTGCGTTGCAGGGCTTTTGACTCACAAGCTGTGCTGGCAGGATGATCTTTTCTCCTGGTGTGCATTGTAATATATCCAACCCCTGCTCCCCGTGTGCCACTGCAAGGTGAGAGAGATGTGCTCGGGGGAAATCTGCTGGTACGATCTGCTTTCCTCTTTTCCTCTGTCCTCCCCTTTGCCTGTGAGGACGTGCTTGTTTCTAGGACCCGTTTCTCGTGTTCTGCGACAATCCCAGAAGATGATGGCTGAGGAAGCAACTGGCAGGAGCTTGAGCAGGAGCGCCGTTCCCCAGCTGGTAGCACCGCAGCATTGCCTGCCTCCAAACCCACTATATGTTCAGAGACCGCCTCTCGTCTGCCAGCCTGAAATATCTGTACGTTCATCCTGCTTTCTTGTCCCCTCGGGTGCAGCCATGTGCAGCGCTCAGCCCTGGTGTGGTTCACCGGACAGGCCGGTTGGTGGTGACACTCTGGGTGCTTGGCCGGTTGATGCTGACAGGCTGGTTGGTGCTGGCATTGAGATCTTCTGTCACTGGCACCATCTGCAGCCTCATGGCGAGGGAAGGAACATGCCTTGGTGAAACATTCAACCCAAAACAAATGGTCTGAACTTTACCTCCGCTAATGATTTCCCCAAACGAGTTGTGTGGGCTTCAGGCTTTCCAGTGCTGTGTGGCCTGACTTGGAGGATGGCAGTGTCTCTCCTCAAGGAAGTTTGGTAACATACAGTGCCTTATACTGTCTCAGCTCATGCCCTGGCTGCCTCTCCTCCACCTCTGGGGCAGAGCAGGGATGTATTGACCCTGCCTCTCCTGCTGCCGCTGCTGGCCAGCTTGGGTAATACATGACTGTGGGACTGCAGCAGTTTCACCTCCACCTGTCTGTAAACTCCCAAGGCCCAGTTGGTGCTCTGCTCCAGGATACCAGCTCCTCTTCAAACCCAGTCATGGCAGGAGCCAGGGACCAGGACCCTGCCCCAGTGAGAGGCCAGCTGAAGGTGCTGAGCACCAGTCCTGGCTTCCAGGGAGGTCATGGGTGAGCATGCTTCCTCGTGCTCTGAGGATGAGAGGAAGGGTACTGCTGTTGCCAGGAGAGGTTTCTCCGGTTTTTGCTGTACACACCTGGTGCACAGGGGTTGTGGCACAGCCATGTGCCTTGCAGATCCCAGCCTGGGGAGCACTAAGCCAAGCTTTTGCATGGGGGAGTGCTCATGACCTCACCTGCCAAAGGCTTGGGCAAACAGTGCCCTCCTGGTGAAGAGCACCCTTCAAAGGACCCCAGTGGGCAGAGGAGCAGGAAGGATGTCTGCATGTCATGCTGGAAGGCAGCTCAGCCAGCAGGCAGGGCAGAACTGAAACCCATGACTGATGGCAGGAGAGGAGCGAGCAGGCACAGCGTTGGCCTCATTAGACCCTGCGGTGCCCTCTCCATGGGAAGGGTACCAGGGCAGAGAGGGGATGGCAGTGTATTTCATAGCTGTGGTGTTTGAAATGTGTCCTGGAAGTACCGTTTGACTTGCAAGGTCCCATTTCTCCTGTGGGAAGGGCTTCGAGGAGCCAGTGGAGTTGCATCTCTTTGACCCTCCACCTCCTCAGTGTTGCTGGCTTGCAGCGGCCACTTTGGTTGAATTTTGAGATTAAGGCAGGCTTTTTAGAACAGAGGCGCTCCTGGAGGAGATGTAGACTTGTCTCCATGTGGTATTCACTGGGGTTGGGCACTACCTAGCGCTGGCATCAAACCCTGGGCATCAGGCTGGGTGGACAGGGTAGGTTCTGCCAGCCTGGAGATGACAAGAAGCAAGGGCACGAGGGGAACCACTAGAAGCAATAACCAGGCAGCTCACAGCTCTCCTGCAGTGATCAGAGCGAGATCCCCGTGCAGGGAGCAGGAAAGGCTCCCAGGCCACTGCAGGAAGGGCTACTTCCCTTTGGATCTGAGCCTTGCTGGGCCTCCCTGCAGCCGTCCAGGTGGATGCATGGCTTTGCCGTTAGTGGCTGTCACTCTGGCTAAATGTCGTCCTGCTGTGGTTGGGTATGCATCAGCCACCTCCTACCCATGTGGTCTGAGGGACACCTGGGGATGCTCCTGCGGTTTGAAGTCCTGCAGCAACGTGTGCGTGATGCTCAGTGCCTTCTGCAAAAGCCTCCTCCATCCTTCTCTGCTTCCCCAGCCACTGCTTCAGAAGCCTGAGTACGTGAGTGGGAGGAGGGAATCACCATGACTTTAACACCCCAGTCTGGGCTTTGCTCCTCTCTGAGCTGGGAGCTGCAGAACGGGAACACGGGTGCAACTGGGAACATGGTTTGAACTGGTTTTTCTCTCTGTTCAAAAGGCCTGTGTGCTTGTGTGACTAAAGGGGTCTGCCACTGGATCCGCACCTTCTTTAAGGAAGACACATATGTTCCAAGTTTACATGCACAGTGTTAAGTTCTTTTGATAAAGCAGAATAAAACTATTTTGTTACCATTTCCTTGGTGGCTTTATGTGTCCTAGGGCCAGTATCACTGTAGGCATGTGGAGGGGGGACACCTATGCCTCTCATCCCACAGTAACACCGCATCTAGTTGAATGTCCCCAGTGACTGCCACCCTAGGAGCCCCATGAGCAGCCTGGGCTGAAAGAAAACCTAGGGGATGGTGCTGAGCAGCAGGGACAGCACTTACAGTCCTGCTGTGTTTCTGCTATCATCCTCCAAAGCTCATGGTGGGAGCTGAGCCCTGGTGGCCCTTGGGCCCCCACCTGAGCTGCCCTGTTGCTCACGTGCGGCCAGTACAGGAGCATTTCCCAAGCAGGCATGGCTGCTGTGTGCGAGCGGTGTCTTTGGGGACTGGCTGGTGTCCCCGGGGCCCATGGGCTGGTCCCTGAGCACCGATGTTGCCTGCAAGCATGAACGCTTGTTTTGGACTAGGATGATGGGACTCAAGGTGGTGGTGGGACTCATGGTGGCTGGTCTTCAGTCAGAGAGTGAGCCTGGGGCCTGTTTTGGCAGCTGGGGCTGGGGGGGTCACAGGGACTCGCTGCAGCATCCTGCAGCCCCTATGACAACCTTGCTCCGTGCAGCTGGCAGGAAGCTCTGCCATTTGTCCCCCGTGGCTCTGGCACAGTGTTTGGGAGCTCAGCTCAAGCCCTTCTCCCCACTGGCTCCACACATGCCAGATCCACCCTGAGCCCCTGGCAGCTCCCTGCCTGCTGCCACCCTCGCTGCCACCCTCCTGCCCTGCTGCCCTCCTGCTCCGCTGCCTGTGCTGCCCCCTTCTGCTGAGAGACACCCCATGACACCACTACCTTCAGTCTTTATTGGTATAAAAGCCTTCAACCTAAATTATATCAAAAATGGGGAGGCCTGGTTTCACAACAGATGGCTCAAAATGGTCACATAAGGGTCTTAAGTTAGTGGCTGCCGTAAAAAGGCTCCCAGGAAATTCCCTTTCAGGATAACAGTAACTCAAGTGATAACTTCAGAGATAAAAGCCCAGTGGGGAGGCCAAACCTGGCTTGGACCTGCCAAAGCCCCTGGCAAGACCCCCTGTGTGACTGTCCCCAGCTGGGGCAGTGGCTCCAGGGCATGGTCCCTGCAGTGCAGCACTCCTCCTGCCCTGGAAAGCCCAGCAGGTGATGCCGGAAGCTCCTCACCACAGCCCCAGCAGGGAAGGGGCAGGAGGAGCAGGACACATTCAGGATATTGGGAGAGAAGGCAGCAGCTCCCAAGGCGCAGGAGAGCCTAGACCAACTCAGGGCTGGCCTCAAAACCAGAGCTGGCATTGTCCCCACTCCTGGTCTTCTCACGAAGCCCCAGCTGACGGCTCTCCCTGAGCCAACCATGAGGCTACAAAGTCTGTTAAGGCACAACTCAAATATCTGTAAACACTGGTGACCTCCCGGGGGAAGGTCTGGTGAGTGATTCAAGTAAGGGTGGAAGTGAGACGGTGGCTCCCCAGCTGTGCCACCCAAGCGCCAGAGCCAGCAACTCCTCAGCCACGGTGGCAGATGGAGCATCCTTGGTCACCTCCTGGCCAGGGGTGGCTTCAGGGCCACCTTTGGGGGGATGCCCCGCTGAAAGACCGATGGGGGTGTTGGTGAGGGGTGAGGGAGGGCTGGTCCTGGTGGCCCCTCACCATGGCACGGCGCTTTGCTCTTCAGTGCCGGGAGAGGCTTGCTGGGTGGCTTCGGCTTTGCCTGGCAGGAGGAGAGGAGAGCCCCGAGTCCCTCGCCTGGGCACCAAGGAGGGACCCGGAGGGGGACAGGAGGCAGAGGAAGGGGCTCCCCCAAGTCATCAGCCGCCTGGGCCACGCCATGGATGTGCCACACACACCTGGAGCTGGTCAGGCCAGAGGAGGCTGGGGGGACATCTGAGAGTGGCTCCTGGCCACAGAAAGGACAGGCCACCCTGCCACTGGGCAGCGGTGGCTTTCAGAAGGGTGGTTACCTGCAGGGGCCGTCCTGCAGAGGCTGGAGATGTCACCTGGGGGACTGGCGCTGGCAGCTGCAGAGTGAGCAAAATACAGGATGAGGGGCCGCCCTCCTGCCCATGCCACGAAGGCTGCCCCACACCAGGGCTCTGTTCAGCTCCCTTACCTGCGGGGCTGGGTGGCAGGGCCCGAGGGCCCAGGTATCCCGCGGGGCCGCCGTGCTGCTGAGCAGGTTTGGGTCGCCGATGTCGTGACGGGACAGCTGGCGGCGGGGGAGTCGTGTCCGGCCACCCTCCTGGAAGAGTGGGTTGGCGAGGCCAGCAGCAGGCCCACTGGAGGTCCTCCTGTGGGGCACAGGGATAATGGGGGGCTGCTCCAGGCAACACCTGAGCTCAGCCTGTGTGGCCGTGGCTCAGCCCTGCTGTGGGGCAGAGGAGGGGGGGAAATTACCCTTTCTGGAAGTGCCTCATCCCCCTGCCTCTGAGGAGCACAACACCACTGCCGAGCAGGATGCCAGAGAGTGCCAGCACGGCCAGCATAGTCGCCAAGACCACACTGCTGCTCCCTGTGGAGACCCGGTCAGCATCAGGATCGGTGCTCCCATGCCAGGGACGCCCCATGGGCATGGAGTGGTGCCCACCAGCACCATGGCAGGGTGCCGACCCCCTCCCCAGCATCCCTCCCCAGCACACACATCTGGCTGAGGGCACTGGTGCCGGTCACACACAGGGGATGCCATACCTGCCGCCACCCCTGAAATCTTCTGCTCGCAGTAGGGCGCTGCCCAGCCTGGCTCGCAGTGACACTCGCGCTTGTGGTTGCACACCTGAGATGAGGGAGGAAAGTGTCAGTGTGGTGGACACGCTGTAGGGGCCAGGACCACCGCCCGGGCCCCGCGGCTGCCCTGGGAGAGGACGATCCCACAGCGTACCCCATGGTTGTTGCACTTGGCCGAGCAGTTCTTGTTGCCGTAGACCAGGAGGTTCTGGCAGCGCCCAGCGTAGCAGACCTGGGGGCAGGCAGGGGGACTCTGAGGCTGCCCTGGGTCCCCATGGCCAGTGGTCACCTCCCCCCACCACCCCAGCACAGCTGCCAGCACGCTCACCATTTCCTCTCCGCACTTGGCACCAGTGGGCACCAGCCTGAGCTTGGCCACCACCTCATTGGCGTCGCTGCTGGCAATGACCGCCTTGCACTTGAAGCGGCCAAAGAAGAGGGAGTAGGAGCCACCGCCGAGGACAGGGCTGGTGTTGTCGCTCAGGCACAGCAGCGTGCCACACTTCACATCCCTGTGGAAGAAGCAGCCATGAGCACCAGCGGCGGGGGTGGCACGGGGCTGGGGAGCTTCGCTCAGCCCCATGGTGCTGTCACCAGACATGGACACCACCCCGTCACCCCCCGTCCCAGCTCCTTACTTGGGGCTGCAGGGCTGCTTCCCATACTCAGTGAGGCAGTGGAGGTGAAGGTGTTGCTCACTGTTGTGCTTAAAGCAGACATCAGGAGCCACCTGGGCCTCTGCGGGACATATGGAAAGGGTCACACGGAGCCAGAGCCTGCAGCCAGCCGGTGGTGCCGGCACCAGTGGCCACGCTTTAGGGTCAGCAGCCATAGCACTCCAGCTAGGGATGCAGGAGGGGACCACAACCAAGCAATGCCCTGGCCCGAGGAGCCGGGGCTCCAGGCATATCATCCATCATGTGGGGCAAGGAGGGTGGGCAGCGTGGGGGAGCAGCTACCTGTGCCCCAGAGCGTGCGGCACTGCTCGCCATGTGAGGGGCAGGCCCCGTTGTAGCAGTAGCCGTTGCCATTCTGGCAGGAGATGCCATTCTCCTGGAAGACGTCCTCTGGGCACTCGGCACTGAGGCCAGTGCAGTGCTCGGGCAGGTCACAGTCGTTCTTGCTGGGCCGGCAGAGCACACCAGCAACCTTTAACTGCACAGAAAAGGGGATGTCAGCACTGCCTTGATGCTCTCACATCCCCAGATCCACGCAGGCACCACAGCCCAGCAGCACCCTGGTCTTCAAAACATCTCCCGGCACCCCACAGATCCAGATACGGCAGCTTGTGTCGCTCTGGCACAAAGACATTTGCTATTGACTGAGCTACTGCACAAGACAGACACCATCAGGCCTTGGACTGGGTCTTCCCATAGTTAAGTCTCTCCCTGTAGGCAACACCTTGTGCTTTGCCTTTAGTCTGGACTTGCCCCGGGGTCCTCTTCCAGCCCTATCTCTTCACATCAAGGCATTTCTTATGCCTGTGTGCAGGAACCAATGAATGTAACTCAACCTTCTCTTAGATGAATGGAGCCGAAGAGGCAGGTTGATTTCCCAAATCAGGAATGGGCCACACTGATTGCTTCTGAACATTGCCCAGTCCTTTCATCCTGCACCTAACCTAACAGCGCCAGGGGACCTGGGCTCCAGGATGCCAGAAACAGAGGCTGCTTCACCTTCCCAACCGCTTCCCACCCAAGATGCTGACTGTCGCATGTAGTGAGAGCATTAAATGGAAAGCGTGATTCCCCCCCAAACCACTGGGTTCATTTGGCTCTGGGCAGGCTGCTACAGAGGGCCCTCAGGCTCTCCAGCGGGCTATGGACACACCTTGTCTCTACCGGGAAGCTCTGGAGGAGCCCGGGGCAGGACTGCACACCCGCCAGCTCCCTTCCCTGCCAAGTTGGTCCCCAAAACGGCAGCAGTACCTTGCAGTCCTGGCAGCAGTCCCCCTGGGAGCACTCGGCTCCCTCTCTCAGCTGGCAAGTGGTGGCATTACAGCAGCGGTCGAAGCACTCCTGTGAGACAGGAAGGGACTGAAACCATCCCGAAAGTCCCCTGAAAGACCCTTTTCTAGGGGGGACCCAGTTGCCACATCACCAGGTGCCAATGGCAGCGTAGCCACTATGGGGTGAACCATGGGGCAAAACCACAGCATCATCCCAGGTGTGAACCAGTCCTGTCACCTCTTTACCCCCTTTACCAATACCAAACCAAAGGACCAGAAGAGATTTTTTTTTTCAGAAGATGGGGCCTGACCTGGGCCTCTGCTGTCTGGTAGCACCCTTTGCACATCTCCAGGAAGGAGAAAACAGGCCGATCTCTGTGCTCTCTGCATTGGGGGAGCATCCCTTCACATCCCAGAGCAGGGCTGTGACCCTCTCATTTATCCCAGAGACATCACCTGGCCATTTGTCTTAAATCTCCTCCCTGCGATGCAGTAATGGGCCATTAGGGATGAGGAAAAGTTGAGCACGGCTTTTGAAAGAACAACATGCCATGATGTTCCCCTCTTTGGATCACCTCTTTGGAGGATATGCTGGGGGGCTGTCCAGCTTTCCTAGGCACACTCCTGCTAAAAATCACAGCCAGCTACATGAAGGGGGACACACATCCAAGTTAACGAATATCCTCCGCAAGTTACTTTTCGGCAGAAGCATCAGGAACATAAGGAAGGTAAGTCTTGCAAAGCACCATGTCCAGGGAAAAGGCTTGCACAAGCTTTTCCGAGTCTGAATGACAGGACTCAAGCCCCTGCCGCCCACCCTCCTTCCCGGGTTCTCAGAAAGCATCCCTACCTCCAGCGTGCCACAGTCGCACTGCTCTCCCCGCTCTACAAACTGGTTCCCGCACACCGGCC